GTGTGTGTGTGTGTGTCTGTGTCTGTGTGTGTGTCTGTGTGTGTCTGTGTGTGTGTGTGTGTGTTTGTGTGTTATAGCGCTCTGGTTTTCCCTGCATGCTAACAAGGCCTCGTTTCTTTAAGGCGCTGCCAGAAATGAGCATGTGAGTGTCTGTGAATGAGAGAGAGAAGGAATCTGTGTGGATTTTGTGGGTGTTTGTTAGTCTGAGTGTGAGAGAGACGGGAATGTTAATGTATTCAGAGTTCAGAGACGCGCTGAGCAAACATTTGCTTTCCATCGTCTGGAAAAACAACACAAATGAGCAGAAGACAAAAGCAAGTGTCCTTGAGGCAGAAGATAAAGGCCAAGAAACACAAGAGTGTCTTTAACCCATTCATCATGTTTCTCATTCATCAAACTCCAGCAGAACTCAGTTCTTCTGTCATTTTGATACGTTTCTCTGAAAACAAGACTTTGTATCTAGATTTGCTATTTATATTAAGATTAGCTGTGAGTATATATGGCTTTATGTGAGTATATGTTCAGTATACGAGTAAAATTGAGCATGCACATAATAGTTTTTAATTAGTGTTAGTAATTAAGATGAATCATTTGTATTCCTCGTCTGTAAGATAAAAGCATCTCCTAAATCAGGGTTTCCCAAACGTGGCTTAGTGAAATTATGAAAAAAAAATGTAAAAATTAAAATTAATAAATAATTTTAAAATAAAACAATTTCTTTAAAAAAACTATATTTTAAATAAAATATACAAATATTTTATTTGTTTAGCTGCATGTTATGTGACATAAAATTAAAATCAATTAATATTTTTTTTTTAATTTTTTTTTTATAAAACCTAAAATTATTTTATTTGTTTAGCTGCATGACGCCATCATTAGCTGATATCAGAGAACCATGAACATGTGTTGTTAAATTACTGAAATCATAAGAGCAGCAGACGCTCATCAAACACTGAACTCGGTCAGCGCCGGTGTTTTCATAAAGCGTTGGGCTGATTCATACACACACCATTCATATGATAAACACAGCCATTATCTGCATTCCGCCTCCGCAATTATACAATCTAATGAGCGCTGATGGGAAGCGTCTGCTGGAATGTCTTTGTGTGTTTGTGTCAGAGACCAGGAGCAGATCGACACAGTTTCTCAACAGTATCAGAGCAATAAACACCTTTAACTGTAAATAAGAGGACAGTTCGAGTCTGATGTGTGTTTGACTCGCTCGAGGGTCACACACTCACACGCGCGTGTTTTGCAGGTCATGTCTGGTGTGTGTTCTGGTTGTTGTTTCAGCTCTGTGTGTTTGATTGTGTTCGAGAACATCAGTCCTGTGATCGTGTGGGAAACACATGCACACAGTGTTCGTTGGGTTCGTTATGGCAGTGATTACGAGCTGTAATTATGAACACATTTACAGCTCAGCGTTATGATGGATCTGCTGTGCTGTTTCAGACGTGTGGAGCTGATGAACGAATGTTTGAGCATAACTGGCCATCACAGACAATTGATTCATATGACTGATTCATTTGTTTTCAAATTTTCCAGTGTTTTGAGTTGAATTGAGTTGAAAAATAAATCAGCTTTCCATTGATGTATGGTTTGTTAGGATAGGACAATATTTGCTCGAGATCTGGAATCTGAGGGTGCAAAAAAATCTAAATATTGAGAAAATCATCTTTAAAGTTGTCCAAATGAAGTTCTTAGCAATGCATATTACTAATCAAAAATTAAGTTTTGATATATTTACGGTAGGACATTTACAAAATATCTTCATGGAACATGATCTTTACCTAATATCCTAATGATTTTTGGCATAAAAGAAAAAATCGATAATTTTGACCCATACAATGTATTGTTGGCTATTGCTACAAATATACCCCAACGACTTAAGACTGCTTTTGTGCTCCAGGGTCACAATTATACACATATATACATATACCCGGGTCAAAGACATTAAGATGTCCGCATCAAGAGAAATTTACAAAAGTGATTTTATGTCCATAGAAAGCACATTAAATGTAAGTAAAG